GAATGAGTTGTCGCCTTTTTCTATGTAAAAATGAAAGTTCACTCCATCAGTACTATATTGCAACCTGTACTTAGTCACCCACTGCTGTAATCGTGGTGCATTCCTTCCCTGAGTCGCGACACCGGTCACAGTGGTATAGCTGCCAAGATCGACTTGAAGCCACTGTTTGAGATCCAGTACACGAGTTGACCAGGCTCCTCTCTTTACTCCAGTCAACTTCAAATTCAGCCTAGCCCTTGATGTGTCATGATTGCCATCCCACTGTGTAGAGGCGGTTATTTGTGCATCTTTGATTGCTCCACTTTCCATTCCAAGAGGTGTGCTACACACTGAAATAAGTGAACATAAATTAACTGAGTAAGACATCGTTCAACTCGTTTGGAGTTTGGAAAAGAGAAAAGATCTGGGTTCTTTTCGAAGAATCGAGTTTTAGAATCTTGCATATATATATATATATATATATAATATATATAGAGTTAAGTACACTATAAGGACGTAACGAAGAGGCCAACTCTTGACTGTTCTGGACGAGTTTAATGCACGACGTTTCGGCCGTTCAGCCTTCTTCAGGTTAAAAATTAAAAGCTAAAGAGCTATTTACAATGATTGAGTTAATGTAATTACATTGCGCGTGGTAGCTCTAATTTACCTGCATCAGACTGTAATTCCACTCTCTCGAGCGATGTTAAGACCTACGTCATACCACGAGGTAAAAAGGGCCTGTTAAAAGGCACCCCAATTTGATTTTATCGGCATCATTTGTTACTGTTAAAACGTTACCTGTACAACCGTAGATCTCTATTCTCATCGCTATGTTTTTATACCACGCTATGGGTAAGATCCTTATGTATCGTGCTGTGACTGGAGGTTTAAGAATGTTGTAAACAGCAGTTTCGCTATCACCATTGCCAGGAAATATCTAAGCGAGAAAAACACAGAAAGCATCAAGGAAAATTGATGCATAAGGCTTGCGGATGATTAACAATGAAAGAAAAGAGCTCTGCGTCTGCCTTTTGTGATATATTTGAATGACACTCTCTAGTGGAGGTTTGTACAGCTTAGGAAAATACTCAATTACTAGAGAGGCTCTTTGGCTGGAAACCATCCCTTGAGATCTACAGTGTATTATGGCTTTTGCTCTCATTGGGTCAGAAAGCCACTTTCCTTTGCTTGATACAAATTCGTCGAATTGCAACATTAGCGAGAAAATTAACGCCGCTTGAATTGTTTATTTTTTGTCGTAAGACTGCTTTTAGCCAGATTGCACGTACAAATAAACATTGATAGAATTACAAAATCTCTTCTTTAAATTTATTTCTGAAGTATTTTAACCATACCAATAATTCTCAAGGTAGCTCTGCACTGAATTAGTAGGCGCCACATACCTTGGGGTTGCCAACACTTTCCATGTAAGACTTGAAAGTGATTTCGTTAATACTGTACTCTAACTGGAAGGAAGTCACCCACTGCTCATAGCCATCCATCCCTTGAGTTGCTACTCGTGTTACTCGAGTGTAACTGTTAAGATCCACTTGAAGCCATTGATTACGGTCATTTGTTAGAGGAAGCCAACCTCCCTGTTTTATCCCACTCATCTTGGTATTCAGTCTGGCGCGCTTTGGCGCATGATTATCATCCAATTGTGATGATGCACTTATTTGGTCATCGGAGATCAGTCCGCTCTCCATACCGACGGGTGCAATGCAATCTAAAGGAGAAAAAGGACGATCAATTATCCTAACCAAATTCCCAGCCCGGGTACGTGATTTGTGATATGATGTTTTTTGTCGAGTCATACTTATTGACGAAATGCTGATGACACCTTTCCTTTCTTTCCCTTCCATTCTCCGCCACTAACATTTTGGTTTTAATTTATTTGTGTATGCGTATAAACTTTTTGTTATTTACCAAAGTTGCGATTGGTTTGGGAAATTTAAGTAACTTAATTTATTCCTTCATTTTCAAGTGGAATAAGTTTAACAATTGTCATTTTTAGGAAGCGTCCTATGAATCATTTTGTCGATGGCTTAAAGAAGACCTTTTCGGATCCAAAAAACGTGTAATCGTGCCATGGTTAAAATCAGCTTATTTGCCTAGTCAAAGAACGTTGACGTTTCCTTTTTGAGGTGTAATCGACAACTTTTCCACTAAGCTTCAGAAGTAGAATAATTATAAGGTAGTCCCACAACTGGATGATCTTTGGTCGACAATCAGTCCGCGTAGCGGTTAACAACAAACAGCCGCGACAGATTTGAGTCAGCCCTAAAAATGACGTTCTCACTATCAAGTAATTTTGCTTTACATCAATGTCAGGTGGAAAAAATAATAAGAAGAGGCGAAATATCAACTAGTAAATATCATTTGATCTTACCACCAGATTCTCAGAATCACACTACACGGCAAATAGGATATTGATAAAAGATTGACGGCTACAAACGTACACAACAATTAATTGAATTAATTAAATACATTTATATAGCGCCATCGTCCATTAATAGTCCATGGCGCTTTACAATACTCTAAAAACCGTAAAAATTAAAATCCTAAGAATTAAATACACTATAACTACAAGTAAAAACTACAAATGAAATGTACGCTTAAAAAGATAAGTCTTAAGATTAGCCTTAAAAATTGCCTCTGATGATGAAAGCCTGATCTGGAGTGGTAGTTTATTCCAGAGCCTTGGTGCTGCCACGGAAAAAGCCCTTTCACCATACGTTTTAGGATTCGCTCTAGGTTCATCAAGCAACCTATTGCTTGAAGATCTTAGTGTGCGACGGGAGTCATGATACTTCAATAGGTCTTTAATGTAATCTGGGGCCAGTCAATTCAGAGCATTTTAAGTCAGCAACAGTATTTTGAAAACTATCCTATAATGAACTGGCAGCCAATGTAAGCTCCTTAGTACTGGTGTGATCCAGTGTGTACTGCCTTCTAGTCAAGGTAACAAGGCGAGCTGCCGAGTTCTGTAAAAGCTGAAGTCTATTAATTAGATACTTCGGGAGACCATACAGTAGGGCATTACAATAGTCCAAACGCGATGTTATGTAAGCGTGAGCAATAGCCTCAGTAGTACTCTGGGATAGGTATCGCCTAATTTGAGCTCTACTGCGAATGCGGAAAAATGCGCTCTTGCAGGTTATTTAATACAATCAATAAAGTTGGGAAAAATACTCCGGAACAATAGAATATCAAGAGAATTCAATATGGCAGCGATCACGGCTCGATCTGCAAAGAAGAGTGTTTCGTACCATGACTTATACAATTTAAGCACTGCAGATCTTCTATTTGATGAAAAGGAAAAGAAAAGAAGACCTGCAAGGAATTTTTCGAGGCAGAGCGATGACATGATGACAGAATTTTGATTTGCTTTAATTTAATTTTCGCGCTAAAACTACTGAATCTACATTCAATGCCTGGCATATTTTTATTCCGAAAAGGACCGAGAACTAATTTATTTCCCTGCAAGAACATAAACAAATATGGCCGACGATTCGAAGATCAGCGTTGCTCGTGTTTAACTATTTCAGTCATAGTTTTCAATATGGCGTCTCGACACTTACTCAACATGGAAAATAAGGGATATTCTGGTGCGTTGGGAACTTTTTCGATGGGAGGAAATGGCAATTTTGCAGGATATTTGGACGCTTCGAACTCTGTAGCAGTCAATTCGATCGAGAGCAGTTGACTTTATTGATGCACTTTCCTGTAATAGGCGAGTGTTTGGGATGGAGAACGACGGATTTTGAAGAACTGTATGGCGACCTAGGTCAAAGATCAATGACAAAAGAACTGGCTCGGGAAGTAAGTGGTTTTTATTTATCGAGTCCCTGTGAGGTTTGATGAATAGCAGAATCAGTACTGAATATGTCTCGAGCGAGAGCAGACGGGATCATGAACTCCTGTTATATTTTAGAAATTTTACAAATTTCCATACAGTTTCTTATATTATTTGGACGCCAGTATGGACGAAATGCGCGAGTATGGCCGCCATCTTGTCCAATATTTCTGCCGATGAGAAGAAGTCTTTCAGGTAAACGGCCAAAATTGACTTCTGGCAAATCTTTCAGGAATCAATTTTCGTTCTCAGCCGTGAGTAATGCCATTACCAAAGCCACTGAGTACGCAACTTTCGATATTTCTTTTCTTATATTGGTTTTCTTCCCGTTCTAGGAAAGTTTCAACGTCACTTTCTGCGAGCAACACAGAGTTTTTAATTTTTCAGCTGGCATAATCCGAAAAAAGTTCCGACAAACTACCTTTTATTAAGAATCTTGAAGGCTTTGCCGTTCATTTATCAACTTGACCGAGTAGCGCGAAAGACGAGTGACGTGTCAGCAGCTGATTGGCGATATCAAACACACTTTCAAAAAATATCGTATTTTTTCACGTGTGTTGTTAAGGCTTTTCTCGCTGGAAATCCTTGTATAACACCGTAATTTATATGATAATCTTTATTTAGCCATTCTGCCTCCTGCTTCGCCTAAGAAGTGCCTTTCGATGAAAGACAAAACACCAAGATAACCTATCAAGAAAATATTTTGAAAGGCACAAATACCTGGACATCCAAAGAGCTCTATCCTCATGGAGATATGTTTATTCCACTGTGTTGGGATTATGCGGACATAGCGCGCTTTGAGTGGCGGACGAAGGGTATTATACACAACCTCGTTACGATCTTGGTTTCCCTTAAACTCCTGAAAATCGTCATGAATGTTACGGTCAAATTAAGATCTTATTTGAAGTCTGAATTGCGATGACTTACTCTATTGTTTGTTCGTTCGTTTGTTCAGCCGGCTTTACTTTCAGAATTGCAATTGAAATAACAAGTGATAATGAATAACTAAAGAAATAAATATCTCATTTTGCAGTGGCACACTAACAGAGTGCCTCCTTACCCGTGGTTATGTCCAGTTCATACTGAGTGCAAGCATTAAATTACAGGATTTGCAGATGTATATTTTCATTCATGAAATAATTAATTCCATCAGAACTTAACTCCGTTGATAAAATGCGCTAAATGAGGATAAACCATACCGTGACCGAAGTGTCCCCAGTTTTTTGGTAGAACTTGTAAGTCAGTCCATTATCACTATACTGCAACTTGTATCTGGTCACCCATTCATCAACTCCGTTCACCCCCTGAGTCGCCAGTTGTGTCAAATGAGTGTAACTACCAAAATCCACCTGAAGCCATTGGTTTATATCGCTCGTAAGAGCCGACCACCCTCCAGCTTTGTTTCCCACGGCCTGAAAATGCAACCTGCCCTGTACTGCGGAGTGGTTTCCATTCAATTGCGAAGAGGCGGTGATTTGCGCATCAGATATCGACCTACTTTCCATTCCAAGAGGGACAGTGCACTCTGTAATGAATGAATTTTGATATAAGTCTATCATAATGTTACTATTAATATGCAACTGAAATCTAGCTTCCAGGTATCTTTCACGTTTTGATATTTTACAAATATCTGCCTCAACTGAAAATTTTCAAACTTAGGCGTAAATTCAATGATCATATCACGCGATCATCGTTACATACACCTTCAGTTTATCCACGAAAAATCAGAGAGAATACACTATGACAAGGAAAAGGTACTAAAAATTGAAGAAGCTTTCCTTTAACGAGAAAATGGCAATTCATATTTTCAAGAGAAATAATTAAGAAGTCAAGTCTTCATTCGTTACACTAGAAATGACTTCTACAGCCACAAAAATGTTTGTTTATTAACTGTTTTGAAAGCATGGCTTTAGTCTTCAATCAAAGATTTGTGATATGGGAAACGGTTTGAAACAATTATGAAGTATCAAATTTTTAACACTTTTAAAATTTGATATTTATAGATGAGTCTATTCCTGTTAAGCCTCAAACTTGTTGGGAGCTTCCCTACTCCCCCTGAATAAAATAATATTTTGACAATACCTAGGCAACCATGGATCTCGGTTCGCATTCCAATTCGATAATTCCAGAGTAAAGGTTTGAATCGAATGTAACGAGCTGTAATTGGTTGCCTCAACTTGTTTGACACAACTGAGTGGAAGTTTTGATTTCCACTAAGCACCTGCAAAATGATCATGAAACATAACACAACTTATTATCGACTTTTGCACTTCACACTATTGTTACCATTAAGACTTAACTCTTACTGTGTTCCCTTTTGGTAGAAGTATAATAGAAAGAAAAGAAGAAAAGAGCTGTCCCTCTACTAAAACGAAACATGTACACATAACTGCCGTAACGAATGCATGAGTGACTATGAAATAAAAAGTTTTCTGCATAGCATGACGCCAAAGGAGATAACATAGTGATTAACTTCTCCCTGGAAACCAAGCTCAGACCGCAATAATCATATAACCATAAAAAAGTATTTTTAAACGTAAGCCATGAGCATTTTCAAATTCAATTCAATGTGACTTTCTGTGTATACCGTGGGTAGAGTTTCTCCAGGACCCTTGTAAAAATGAAAGGTTATTCCATCATCACTGTATTGTAGATTGTAACTAACTGTCCAACATTTTCGCCATCCTCGTAAGTTCACTCCTTGAGTTGCAACACTTGTTACGCTTGAGTAAGTTCCAAGATCCACCTGAAGCCATTGTCTAGGATAGACAGCTCTGGCAACCCAGCCGCCCAAGTTTAACCGTGCAAATTTTGCAGAATTGTCATTATTCCATTGGGTGGAGGCAGTGATTTGGGCATCGGAGATAACCTGACTCTCCATGCCAAGTGGTGAGGAACAACCTGAATGGGTTTAATCAGAAAGGAAACTCAAAAAGGTGCTTTAATATCCCTTTCAAGACAGGAATCTTTCACTCTAATGTATCAGGATGAAGATAAGTCGGGTACAAGTTTTAGAAGCAATTCTTGCATGATCAAAGATCATAGGCTAAGCTATGAAAATTATGAAGGATCAGTACTCTAAACCACTGCTTCAAACACCTGCATATGTTTTTTGAAAAATTTGATTTCAAGCAAGAGTTCAAAAGTGAAATAAGATACTAAGGTTCCCTTCGCTCCTTGACAGGAAAATAATTTAGAAGAAACATGAAAGGCGTTTCAACATGATTTCGAACATTTTGTTTCTAAGGAGGTTTTCTTTCCTTGACCAGTTTTGTACACTATTTTCTCTTGGTCGGTTTTACTCGTACTATAATTTGTTTGCATATTAAATTTGCCTTCTACGTCCAAAGGTGTTTTACGCCCATCTCGGCGTCTGCGAAATGTGTTCCTTTTGTAACACTAAATGTAATTTTTTCTAACTAAGAGACCATAATGTTATGAAATACCTCGACACCCATAAAGCTCCATTCTGAGTGATATATGGTTGTGCCATGTGACTGGTAAAAGCCTGATATAACGAGCTGTGATTGGTGAGATCAACTTGTTATACACAACTGTATCACTGTCTTGATTGGCGTGAAGTACCTGATAGTTAAAACCAAAATCAGCTGAGCTCAAGTAGATACCTCGCCTTCGCAGGACAGTTCATATATACACAAAATTTGGAAAGACTGATAAACTTAAATGAGTGTCATTTGGTCCTATGCATACATCGTGGTTTTAAAGGTTTATTAGATTATGACGAAACTTCACTGATTCGTAAAGCTGCCGACTTTTTGTCAAAAAAAAAAATGGAGTTTATCATCCCGAACGAATTTTCCTTTCGTGTCTTTAGATTTTAGTTAAAGTTAGCCAAGTCAAACCCAGTAACGATGCTATTGATCACAACATTTTTTGGTGTATTAATTGATCGATGCAATACTAGAAAAGCCATAAAACGTTATACTATAAGGTTATGGTACATGTAGGTAAGTTTCAGGGGAATCTCTTCTTTTTCATGACCTCTTGAAAAGGGAGTTGTAGGGAAAATTCATTCAGAGAAGGTTTCAGACGGAATGAATTCAGAGAGTGATAATTCAAAGACACTTTACTTTTGCTGACATTTTCCCTGGTTCTTTGTATAACTGGAAGATCACTCCGTCAAAACTAAACTGTAACGTGAAAGTTTTTATCCACTGTCGCCAATTTGTTGAGTTCCTCCCTTGAGTCGCCACACCTGTCACAATGGTGTGACTGCCAAGATCCACCTGAAGCCATTGGTTACGATCATTTTTAAGAGACGACCACCCCCCTTGCTTGATTCCCTGTTCAATGAAGTTCAGTCTCGCCTGTCTTGATGTGCTGTTGTTGTTCATTCGCGAAGAAGCAGTTATCTGGGCACCAGAAATCGCCCCACTCTCCATTCCAAGGGCTCCTGCAAATCAAACAAACAAAAGAGTTAAAGCACTATTTATCTGTAAAATGTTCGAGTGTATCAAAATTTTTTCTTCGGGGAACTTCTTAAGATACATCTCAAACTCTGAAATTGTGCTAAGTAATTTTGTAATACTGTCAGTCAACAAACTCTTATCAGAACACTTAACAGCGCTATAAGAGGCTTGGAAACCATAGAAAGAACCATTCTTATTTTTAGCATTATGTATCCTTAAAATGTGCGAGTGTATCAAAATTTTGTCTTCAAGGATCTTAAGATACATCTCAAACTCTGAAATTTCGCTAAATAATTTTTTAATACTGTCAATCAACAAACTCTTACCAAAACACTTAACAGCGTTATAAGAGGCTTGGAACCCATAGAAAGAACCATTCCTATCTGATCTGAATATTACAAGGAGGCTGTTTGACGAAGAATAAATTCCATTCCTGGGGGGAGGCTGACCCCCATAGAACACTCCTAATACGTTCCCTGTTTGGTCATTGCCATCGTACACATAAACAGCGTCCGTGTTGTTCTCAGATTGTAGACTGAAGCGTGTAAAAATTAAGGCCACTTGAAAAGATGCTTTCACCATGATCCTCCACATGCAGTATTGCCCATCTGGGTATATTTCTGGATAGTTAGGTGAGTAAATGACGCCTTTTTGTCCCTGTAAAGTTTGGTTTTGACATTTATAGCCTCCTGCGAGTAAGAAAAAGTTAGTTGGGGTTATTTTCATTGAGCTCGGGGGCACAAAAAAATTGTCACAAGTTTCCGAAACTGCATGAAGTTATGTCCATTCTCGCAGCCCATGAAACTCGTCCTCTCTCACCTTTTCGCTCCTCTCACAAGCAATGCTCACTCAGACTGAGTAAGAGAGCTGAATTTAACTAACAAGCACACCTTTTTTCGAAGTACTGGTCGATCAAATTAGAAACTCAGGCCAAAGATCAAGCTCTTTTCACTGATTTACGTACATCGGTAACTTGCAGTAACATATAAGAACGAAGAGATCTTAGAGATTTACCTGTTGGTCAAAGGTATCTACATCATAAGTGCAACAGATTATACTGACTTGACATACTTGATGAAAGGGGAATTTTCAGAGTTATTTGACTAGGCCCATGAAATCTCGCGTTCCAATGTTGTATCTTTTGTTGTGTCATCCAGGCTGGTTGTCCTGTGCCCGCGTAACCAGCAAATGCAAAAGACGACCGCATGCTTCCAAGAACAGGATCACGAGCCCCCAGTCTTTTGAGAGCGCTAACCGCTGATGAAGCA